TTTAATAATTAACGATAATTAACGATAATTAACAGTAGTTTTCAATAGTTATAATAGTTTTTAATAGTTAATAATAGTTTTTAATAGTTTTTAATAGTTAACGATAGTTAATAATAATTATATTAATTTATAATAATTAACGATAGTTAACGATAATTAACGGTAGTTTTCAATAATTATAATAATTTTTAATAGTTAAAAATAATTTTTAATAATTAACGATAGTTTTTAATAATTAACGATAATTAATAATAATTATATTAATTTATAATAATTAACGATAATTAACGATAGTTAACGGTAGTTTTCGATAATTATAATAGTTTTAAATAATTAACGATAGTTTTTAATAGTTTTTAATAATTAACGGTAGTTATAATAGTTTTTAATAATTAATAATAATTTTTAATAATTAACGATAATTAACGATAATTAACGGTAGTTTTCGATAGTTATAATAGTTTTTAATAGTTAATAATAGTTTTTAATAATTAACGATAATTAATAATAATTATAATAATTTTTAATAGTTTTTAATAGTTTTTAATAGTTAATAATAATTAACGATAATTAACGATAGTTAATAATAGTTATATTAGTTTATAATAGTTAACGATAGTTAACGATAATTAACGGTAGTTTTCGATAGTTATAATAGTTTTTAATAGTTAATAATAGTTTTTAATAGTTTTTAATAATTAACGATAATTAATAATAATTATATTAGTTTATAATAATTAACGATAGTTAATAATAGTTAACGGTAGTTTTCGAAAGTTATAATAGTTTTTAATAGTTAATAATAGTTTTTAATAGTTTTTAATAATTAACGGTTATTTTCGATAGTTATAATAGTTTTTAATAATTAATAATAGTTTTTAATAGTTTTTAATAGTTAACGATAATTAACGATAGTTAATAATAGTTATATTAATTTATAATAGTTAACGATAGTTAACGATAGTTAACTATCGTTTTCGATAGTTATAATAGTTTTTAATAATTAACGATAATTAACGATAGTTATAATAGTTTTTAATAGTTTTTAATAGTTAACGATAGTTAACGATAGTTAATAATAATTATTATAATTTTCGATAGTTAACGATAGTTAACGGTAGTTTTCGATAATTATAATAGTTTTTAATAGTTAACGATAGTTTTTAATAGTTAACGATAGTTTTTAATTATTAACGATAGTTAGTGATAGTTATAATAGTATATAATAGTTAACGATAGTTTATAATAGTTTTTAATAGTAAACGATAATTAACGATAATTATAATAGTTTTTAATAGTTTATTTAACCTATATTCTTCTTCGGTACTTTATTTACTTTTTTTTATTTATTATAAAGATGTCCTTTTCCTTTATCCTTTTCCTGTCCTTTTCCTGTCCTCTTTCTATCCTCTTCCTATCCTTTTCCCGTCCTCTTCCTATCCTCTTCTTATCCTTTTCCTAGTCTTTTCTTAACCTTCTTTTTAACCTTTTCCTGTCCTTTTTCTAACCTTTTCTTATCCTTTTTCTATCCTTTTCCTAGTCTTTTCCTAGTCTTTTCCCGGTCTTTTCTTGTCCTTTTCCTAGTCTTTTCTTGTCCTTTTCCTAGTCTTTTCCTGTCCTCTTCCTATCCTTTTCCTGTCCTTTTCCTGTCTTTTTCCTATCCTCTTCTTATCCTCTTTTTATCCTCTTTCTATCCTCTTCCTATCCTCTTCCTATCCTCTTCCTCTCCTTTTCCTAGTCTTTTCCTGTCCTCTTCCTAGTCTTTTCCTAGTCTTTTCTTATCCTTTTCCTATCCTTTTCTTATCCTTTTTATTAAATACACCCTACCCTTCTACTTATTTATTAATATACCTTTTTAAAGACTTAGTATTACCGATATTAAAACTTTAAGTGGTTTTAATTTAATACTCGGGATATACGAAAACGTATTAATAATCTTATATAGTACGTATAAATATATACTTTAACTAAATAAACTAAAAATTCACGTACGAAAGAAACATTCTAACATTTACGATAACTAAAACTTTCGAAGCGTCGAAAAGTTTATTTATAAACACGACTTTCTACCAACTAAAGAGATAAAACAACGTTACCTAAATTTTAAGAATAACTATCCACACCAAAAAAACGTAAATAAAGAAAGACCTAATACTAACAACCAGAGTGTCTGTAACATACTAGACCGACGGTTACCTGTTAATATCGGAGAGAAATACGACTTAAATAGTCACGAGAAGTTGTCGATAATAATAATAAAGGCGTTTCTTTAAACTCTAAGTTCGACGACCTATACTTCTTTTTTCTTCGTAACACTATACCACGGAACACCGACACTATAAAGGAATAAGTACCTAGGGCTAAAATAGGGTGACCGTAAGTATAACTCAGTAAAGGAAAAGAATATAAAAGATAAGAATTTAAGTATACTTAAGTTCTCAAGACTTCGCTTAGGCGACCATTCTACGATACGTGGCCGCCTACGAAAGGATTCTTATATATTCCTTTTAAGTGGAGAAGATTACAGAGTTTTTACAGAGTTTTCTTAGTTCCGTCGCTCGTCGTTTTAAGGCGCGTCGGCGACAATGGAACGTGTTAGAATCTTCCTTTTCGCTTTATGTACGATCGGAACTTTGATTGAGCTTTTAACCTCCTCGGTTACTTGGGTAAGTCTGATAGGCGATTACTTGCCGAATCTCTTTCTCTTTACAACTTTTTATAATAACGAACTATAAACTCGAGTTATACCCGTACTACCGTTAATTAAACGTCGTATTAAACAACCTTAATTATCCGGCGTCGGTACTACGACCTTACTAAAGTTAAAAGTAGTCTATTAATATAAATTCGTTCCGGTTATATCGGTCTTCGGGTCTACCTTTTTAAAAATAAAAGACGGTAGATTTACCGGAGTACTAATACGATGTCGGAGAAAAGACCGTAACCTACGTCTTTTTAAATTATACCGACACCCCGTCCCGACTACTCGATTAACCCTACACCACTAACGAACTACACCGACGGTTACACTCCGGACTAATAGTTAAACCCCTTCTCCGGTAGTTTATCCGGAGCGATAGACTACCGGAGTACCGGTTAACCCGAGAGTTAAAGTAAACATCGGTACCGGACTAACCACCCCACCCCCCTCCCTCCTCTCTCTCTCTCTCTTTTAAATTATTTATCTTATTTGATTATGTTACTATATAACGGTACTTATAAAGGGCCGTTGTATATACCCGACACACGGAAAGTGTTTACACGTAGTACTGTGGTAGTTTTTTTTTTATAAGGGCTCTGCTTAGTTAGACGTTAATAGCCAGGACTGGTTAAGAAAGGCGAATAATAATAATAATAATATAATAAACAGATCTTTACACCGATAACCTTTTAATTACGTTAACGGACGAGTCTATTTTATCCACTATTAAAGAGAGCGAGATCACTAATCCATCACCGTGAAAACAGATCGGCGAGACAACCATTTATATCTCGTAATATGTCTTGGGTGGTGTAGGAGCACTTATAATTAGTGACTTTGGCCAAGCCCGTATAAGTCGTGTTCACTGGCAAGGCCATACCCATCCAATACCACGCGCCCGAAGTCATCCTCAATATACCGTAGGGGGCACCCGTCGACATATGGAGTGCAAGAATACTAGTAAGTACGGTCCCTTAATATATCTAGTCGTGTTTCAGCTACTTTCCTCTCAGTTAATACGTGTAGTGTAGGCCTGGACATTACTCGAACCGAAGACCCTCTTTCATAGGTATAACACAAAGTCGTCCCTCGAGCACAACGATACACATCACTTGGCCGCCATAACTGCAACGCCGGGGCCGCCATCCAAGGAGTTTCGAGACCGGAGCGAGGCGTCCGCCAAGTACTGGGACGAGTAGGGCAACTTACAGGGGCTAGTACCTCTGCCGCCAAACACAGCTCGCGGACTTGGTCACCACGCTAGAGGGAGATCAAAAAGCGTTGTTTGTCGATTTCCTCGAGTGCTGTCTAACTTGGTTGCCTGAGGAACGACTCACTGCCGATGAGACCTATTTTCATTCGTGGCTGCGATCGTACGATGAGAATGGTGGCAAGGAATCATAGGCTGGTACTGGCTTCGTGAACGAGAAACATCACACCTCTGCCACAAACTAAGGGGGCAAGCGGCAGTGCCATACGCTTACTCATCTCTTCTCCCGTTGTCATACCGTATATAGTCGTTGTATTAGTTACGGCCTTCCGAGTGTAAGGTCAAAATAGACCACATTTTCAAGTGCTTTTGTCAGTTTTGGTTGAGCATGTGCAATTAATTCTCCGTCATGTTGCAGTCACTCTATTGGCATTAAATTTGATGGGTTGCTCGTGTATATTGTGTGGCCGCAAAAATAGCCTACTCTCTCTGTGAGCAAAAGTCCTACTAAAAGAGTGCTCGTCAAGCCCGAGCCATATCCTCTGCTTTCGAGTACCTCCCGGCCGCTGTCTTCTTTCCTACGTAGCCCCTTGCCAATGCTTCTATTTCTGTCCAATCGAGCTGCGACGTTCCCATAACTCTACCGTCCTCTTTTAATGTCGATAATACTTCGCCAATTTGGGTCGCCTTGGACGACGGGCGTGCTGCGGAAGATGTCGACAAGCCGCTTCTCATTTTCGACTTTGGCGACTGTGATGCGCGCGAGAAGGTTTGTTGTGCCCTTTACGTTTACGACGTCGACTTCCTTGTAGGTCCAATTCTAGAGCCCTTGTGAAATATGATTTTGTTATGGTAGTTTCAGAATGTTACTAATCGAAAACTTTATAAATATCTGTCTGTGACGCGGTAGTTGATTTGAAAAAGAAACTCTTATTCTGTTGGTCGGCGGCACCATGAAACCCCTTCAAACCAAACGCACATACAGGGGATGATGCACTTTGTATGTCGGCGTATGCCACAAGAGCCACGCCAACTGACCTGTTCGAATCGACCCATCTACAACGTTCCAAAAAAAAAGAAAAAGAAAAATGGACAATCAGGGACTCGAACCCTGGACCTCCCGCAGGTTGGCATATGCGCATGGTGCGATGCTAAGCGGGCGCTATACCACCTAAGCCAATTGCCCGGTACTAGACCGGCTATTAGTCGTTGTTGTGAGGGGCCAACGAAAATTCTTTAAATACGAAGTATTAGGCGCCAAAATATGACTTTGTCAGCCCCACATGAGCTGGGTCTAGCCCAGCTTTTGACCCATCTACAGCGCGTATAAGAAGTCACTCTGGCTTGAGCCCTTTGCCAGCCAAATAATCTTCCACGATGTTAACGAGCAGGTAACAGTGACCAATATGTCTCACATACACCATATTAAGTTTGGTGGCATAATGTATTACTGCCGGGTACAAGACGGTAGACGATAAAATTTTGTCTCATGGTGTGGTGATATTGGTTGTCGACGTGTTCGACACGGCAAAGGAAAGTATGGGGCCGCAACACCTGCCCCGTGTGGGCTTTTTCCTCCGTACAACCGTGTTCCAGCAATTGACTTATTATTCCGGCCGTTAACAACCGGTCGTCGATAACTTGGCACCGACAGACGACGGTCCGCTCCTACCACTGCAGACACACCCGACTGCAGGCGCGCCATGCTTGGCCATCAATGCCTTAATTTTGCACAAGCACGTCGTTGCTGCATCCATTCTACACTTACTTTTGCCCCATAGTTATGAACACAGCTAGTATATCAATTCATTCGTTTCGCACCTACAACAGATCAATGTCCTTACAAATGCATGAAAATCCACGCAGCTTAATCCTCCAGCCGGTAAACCAGCTTCTCGGCCCTGACTTTTCCCTGCTGTAGCCTGGCCAGCCCGTCGGTAATTCCTTCTAGGCCGCCCTTTTCAACGCGGTATGTATGCGGCTTGACCAGACCGGCTGCCACCAGCTGTTCCGTCAGTACACAGAACATCTTGGCAAAGGCCGCGTCCTCGGCGTTTGCCGGCAGCGTCTGGGAGCCAAACCGGAATGCCTTGCCCAGTCCAGTGTACATGAGCGTAAATGTGCTCTGGACGTCGCCGCGGGGGCAGGTCGCTGTTAGGATGCTGCCATACTTGGGCGTCTGTTGAGTGGTGTCCGTCGACAAAGCGTCGGCGCAAATCTGCGCCGACTGCGCCACACTCACGGTGTCCCAGGCATGGTACAGTTTGTTGTTGGTCAGCTCCCGGACCGTCTTGCCCGCGTCAGCATCGTGGTAGTCCACCACGTGGCTGGCGCCGAGGCTCTTGACGTAGTCAAAGTTGGCCGGCGAGCACGTCGTAATCACAGTATAGCCGGCGCGACGGGCAAACTGGATGCCCAGGGCCCCTGTTGCCGTGCTGCCACCGTAGATGAGGACCGGTGTGTCTCGGGCGGGCGGGTTGGCGGCCGTTTGGATGTCGGGCAGCTCGAGGTGCAGCGCCTTTTGGAACAGGCCTTGGCCGACGGTTATGGCCCCTAACGCAATCGTCGACGCGCCTTCGAATCCCAGCTCACCCGCTGCGTCAGGGAGCCGCATCTGAAAATCGGCCAACACCACAGCGTACTCGGCAAAGACCCCGCCGTCCGGGTTCACAGAGTTGGACCCGTGGCCCGTGCCGTACACCCGGTCACCAACCTTCCAGTTTTTGCCGGGGGCGGCCCCGTCGCCCACCGCCACAACCACGCCGGCGTAGTCGCAGCCGACGATGCAGCCCGGTTTGCCACGACCGCCGGTCACGCCGCGCCAGTCCGTCGGGTTCAGCGCCACGGCGACCGTCTTGATCAGAAGCTGGTCGTTCTGCGGTGTGGGCACTTTGCGGTGGCTGTCGACAATGGCGCCTTTGGACGAGCCGTCAATGACGAGCGCCTTCATTGTGGTCGGTAGATTCGCTGCCATTGTGTATGTTCGATGTCGTATCGTATGTTGCCGCTGTGTTGTTGTTTTTAAGGTCTGTGCTGCCCCTGCGACTGTTCAAGGGTACACCTTTTGTTGTCTTGTCGCTTCGACCGTATCGCACATTTCTTAAAACGTTTTTCCGGAAAGCATTACAAACAATGCCCAGTTGTCCAACATCCTAGTGCATAAATCGAAAAACATTCGGCCTTAACGCAATCACGGTAATTAACGCCGGCCATTTGACAATCACGCGATTATTAATGTTTCTTGTAAGTAGTATCTTTTTCGCTGCTCCTGTGACTGTTCGAGGATACGTCATCGCTGTAATCCACTCATCTCACCTGACTACAAGCATTGCAAATGCGATTTATAACTCTCCCGTACGTAAATGAGAAGAAGCAGAGTTTTGGTTTTTCTTGCTTCCATTTCATCGAGAACAGTTTATTTAAACCCTTTTTATATTTCTTCATCCACCTCGTCTTATCCATCCTCATCAAGTGCTATCGATATCCTCTGGGCCCCACCTCACACTCCGCTCAAATAGAATTTGTCGGGCTCTGGATTGCCCGTGGAGTTTTCAGCCCCTAACGGCTTGGCCAGAGCTCCCATGATTCATTTTAAAGCATGGCCACGGCTACAAGGCCGGGGACGGTGAGGTTTGCCGACGGTGAGGACCAGTGACGGTGAGGCACGAGATGGACTGTTGCCAATAGGCGGCGTCGTGTATGATCTCGTGAGAGGAAAATGGACAGGAAGCAAATGAAATAAAGGACTGCCCCGAGCCGCGGTCGTACCGTCCCTCCTCGTTTAACAGCCGTCGTCGCGCCTTTCTTTTCCCGAACTGATTTATTCTTCTGCCACACCCATCCCCCCACCCTCCTGGAACCATGGGGCCTGTAAGATCTCCGCTGCCGTGGGCCGTTGCGCCGGGTCGCACTGCAAAATGCGGCGTACAAGCCGTTTGGTCGCGCGGGCTTCCTCGTCCGACACATCTGGCGCCAGCCGGTCAAACAACTGCTCCATTGTTTGCAGTTCCTCTGGGTGCGCGTCCTCGGGCCGCCGGATCGGTTTCCCCTCGGCCACGCAAAGGTTGAAAAGAGTCCGTTGCCCGCTGTCATTCACAGAAAAGTACCGCGAGGACCGTGTCCAGCGCGCCCACGCGGCGTCGCTCAGCGGTCCCAGGAGCGACACCATCTGGAGGAGGTGCTCGTCGTTTTTTTCCTCTTCCGTCTGGCGCGGCATCCACGGGAGGCAAAACAGCTGCTGGCCCGTGACGAGCTCAAACACGAGGCAGCCCACAGCCCAAACATCGAGCGCAAGGCCGTCGAGACCATTGGTCGGTGTCTTTAGGATCAGCTCGGGCGCACGCAGCCCTTTCGGCGAGACAATCTTGGCAGGTGGGTGCGCCGCAAGGTACGCTGGGTCGACGGTCAGCAGTCCGTGTCTCGATTTCAATATGAGAGAGTCTCGGAGGAGGAGTGAGAAAGTGAGGGAGTGTGGAAGACGTACCTCCACCCAGGTCTGACAACTTGAGAGACAAGCCAGGACCAGCGTCGGCCCAATCCGCCATCGGCTGGGGAACAAACAGCTGCTTCGGCGCCCAAGGATCCACCTTGCCATCCAACCTCGTGAGGGGTGCGGAGAGCTTGGGAAGGCGCATTGGAGGATGCACATGGGCAGGCCGCTGGAGCTCGTCGTCGGTGCAGCGATCGAGCCTGTCTTTCAACGTGAACAAGAAGTTGCCCGGCTGTACGTCACCGTGGGCCATGCCGTGGGCATGCACAAAAGCGAGCGCCTCGAGCGCACCGCGCACAATCTGCCTGGCCATCCAGAACGGATACCGGACTTTCATGTGCCTGGTCCGCGGCACAAACTGCGGTAGGTTCTCCACCATGTCGTGCACACCCGGCCCCATGGGCTCAAACACGAGGCAAGCATGCGTGCCGTTGGGACCCGTCGCCACAAATGTGCCGAGCAGCTTCGTGACGTGTCGGTCCAGGACCGCAGCGTTCGACACCGACGCCAAATGCTTGTAGAGCATCACTTCGGGCAGGCCCTCTGCCGGCCCAGCATGCGCGACGACAACCTTGATCGCGACAATGCTGTGCTCGGCGCCGTCCGGCTTGGTCAAATCACGCGCAAGCCACACCGTCGAGAACGACCCGTATCCCAGCTTGCGGAGGACTTTGTACTGCCCGTCACCCAAGACATTGCCGACTTCAACCGGGTGGTAGCTGCCTGGGCGGTAGTCCCCACCCCACTCGCATGCCGGTCCAGCCATGCCGAAGCGATTGCCGTCCGGCGTTGCGGAGCCGGAGGGGGGCGTTGGAGGCCGAGACGTGCCCATTGTCCTTGAGAGTTGGCGATTTGAATGTAAAGTGTTACCACGAGCGTATTGGTTACAACGTCGAGCGTAGCCTTGCTATGTTGTCATTTTTTTGACGTCACTATGGTGGTGGTTTTATTTGCAGGTAGACGTCAACTTTAGGTTCGGCCTTAACGTAATCATGGTAATGAACGTCGGTCATTTGACAATCAAGCGATTATTAATGTTTTTTGTTTTATATGAAACACAATAAACTATAGTAAGTGAAATAAACTTTCGTTCTTAAATTCTCATATACCGGTGGTAATCCTCTTTTTTAAATAAAAATTAAATAAATAATATAACTCGTTTTTTAAACTGTTTAAAGCCGAGCTTTTTTTTTTTAAAAAAAAATATATACTGATTTTCATTTGTCAGTTTGTTTCAACTGGATAAAACTACATGATCCCGATGATGCATTTACAGTCGCCTATTAAACCGACAGGACGACCAGACAAAATTTAATGGAGAAGTTTTTCATTGAGACGTGGCTATTTATTATCTATGTACGAATGTACACCTAATAGTGGTCCTCCACCGACAAAGTACCCGTCTTGGTGATGAGAAACTCGTTGACCGCGACGTCCTTGCCGCTCTCCTTGCCGACTCCGCTGTCCTTGATGCCGCCAAAGGGCGCCTCGGTAGCCGACGCGTTGCCCGTATTGAGGCCAATCATGCCGGCCTCGAGGTTCTCAAACATGCGCCACAGGCGGTCGACGTTCTTGGAGAAGACGTAGCTGGCCAGGCCCATGCTGGTGTTGTTGGCGCGCTGGACGGCCTCCTCCTCGGTGTCAAACACGGAAATGCCCAGGATGGGCGCAAACACCTCGTCTTGGGCCATGGCCATGCCGTCGTGGATGCCGGTGAGAACGGTGGGGGCCATAAAGTAGCCGTCACCCGCGGTCTCGCGGCAGCCGCGGCCCAGCACGACCTTGGCGCCGCCTTGGACGGCGTCCTGGAACAGCTCCTCGCCCTTGTCGAGGCCACGCGGTGTCGTGACGGGACCGAGGGTCGTGCCCTCGGCTAGGCCGTGGCCCAGCTTGAGTTTTTGTGTGTCGGTGACGATGCGCGCGACAAAGGCGTCGTGGATGCCGCGCTGGACATACACGCGGTTGGCCGAGACGCAGGCCTGGCCGGCGTGGCGCCATTTGAGCGACTGCAGTTGGGCGACGGCCTGGTCGAGGCTGGCGTCGTCAAAGACGATGAACGGGCAGTTGCCGCCGAGCTCGAGCGTGCACTTCTTGAGGTTGCGCGCGCACAGGCCCGAGATGATCTTGCCGACACGCGTGCTGCCGGTGAACGTGACCTTTTTGACGAGGGGGTGCAGGCAGAGCGCCTCGGCCACGGCGGGCGTGTTGTCCAGTGTGGTCGAAAGGACGTTGAGCGCTCCGGGTGGGAAGCCCGCGCGACGGGCGAGATGGGCCAAGCAAAAGGCCGTGACGGGCGTCTCGGGCGACGTCTTGACGACCATGGTGCAGCCGGCCGCCAGCGCCGCACCGGCTTTTCGGAGAACGAGTGCCAGCGGGAAATTCCACGGCACCAGGGCCACGGCGGTACCGATGGGCTGCTTAATGACGAGACCCCGGCGGCCGGGAAGCGCCGAGTTGAGCGTGGCGCCCTGGATCCGGTCGGCCTCGCCCGTAAACCACCACGTGAACGTCGTGCCATAGTCAATCTCGCCGTACGCCTCCGCCAGCGGCTTGCCGGTCTCCAAGACCAAAATGCGCGCCAAGTCGTCGCGCGCGGCAACAATCAGCTGGTGCCATGCACCGAGCGTCTGCGCACGCTTCCGCGGCGTCCACTTGGAGTACTCGAGGAACGCAGCGTGCGCCGTCTGTACGGTGTCTTCGACGTCGGCAGGCGCGCTGTCCGGGCACGACGCCCAGGGCTTGCCGGAGCCGGGGTCGATGACATCGAAGCGCCTCCCAGAAGCGGCGGATGTCCACTGGCCGTTGACAAAGTTGTCGGTGTGGAGGAGGTCGGGGTCGTTGAGTGTGAAGGGGAGCGCTGTGGACGTCATGTTGGCGGTCGTGACGAATGTGTGGTTAAATGAGGACAGCAGGTGTGTCGTAAGTCTGAGGCGTGATGAAAACTTGAGTACAAGCTATGGACAAAGACCGGACAGGAAGGAGTGATGGGAATACAAAGGCCAGAAACGGAAAAGGTGGCAGACGGAACGGCGGCGGATAGGCACGGCTAGTTAGCCGTCGTTCGTCAGAGTCCGATGAGGAAAGAACGCGCGGAAAAAGTCTGGGGTGGGAAAGAGCAAGGGGACAGAAAGCTGAGGAGAGTGAGACTTTTTCGAGCACAAATAACACGTTTGAGGCGATCAATGCGTCACGTTCTGGTCGGTACCTTTGCTTCTTTCCGGGGGTGCGGAGAGCGACACGACTCGAGAGCGGAGGCGAAGCGAGCGGAAAGCGAAAAGCAGAAAGCGAAAGCGGAGAGTGGAGAGTGGAGAGTGGAGAAGCACAGTACAACATATGTTAGCAGGCAAACTGCTCCAAGCTGGTCGTAGACTAGCTCAGAGGGATCGTTGGTGGCACCGGAGGAGTGGTTTGTGGTACCATCCGCCTTTTGGTTGCCGGGGATGCGGCACGAGGTCACAGTAAAGTGGCACGGCGAGTGTCACTGGTCAAAGGATCGTTCGTTTCAATCGACTGCCGAAACTAGGCAGTTATTCCAGGGCGCTGAGATGCGCTGAGACTGCTAAGCAGACCCTAAGCACGTTGAGTCTAGCGCTCGTTGGCGGTGTTTCCCCGCAAACATGTTTTCCTTTTGTCTCCTTCCCCGTCTCCATCCACTTGGCCATGCGGAATTGTTTTTGCTATGTCGTGTCACCGAGTTGTGTCGGTGGCCGCCACACCACTTTGCAGTCCCCGTCCTCCCACGTCTCAATCCTGCGCCAATCTGGGGTAAGCGGGCTGACCCACGCGTCTGGGGTTTAGGTCGACATTATCTCTTCCCTTCTCAGCTCATGTACTCGGGGATATATATTGACTTGTCTTATCTCTCTCCGCCGGCCACACTCCTCAACTTATCTCCCTGTGATTCTTCCTGTGACTCCCTGTGACTTGACCACGCCGCTTCTTACATTATTGCGACGCAGCAACCGACGACGAACGACCACCGTCGCCATCGACTCACAACAGCCGGCATGGCCTCCGCCGTCGCGGCTCCGCGCCGCAAGACGAACATCTACAACCGCCTCGTCACTGTTGCCGTCGCTTTCGGCTCTCTGGTATGTTTGGAATGTAGACAAACACCACCAAGCCATCTCCCTTCTGTGCAGACAGCTGACCAAACAGACGTATGGCTACTCATCCTCAATCATTGGCTCCACCATTGGCCAGCCCGGCTGGTACGAGTTCTTCCACCTGCCCACAGAGGGCGAAGAGGGCTATGCCACCACCACAACGCACGCTATTGCGACAGCCAATGGCCTCTACAGTGCGGGCGGCGCCATCGGCTCTCTCTTTGTCATGTGGGCCGCGACGGCGCTCGGCCGCAAGCGCTGCATTCAGATGGGCGCGGCCTGGGCCCTCTTGGGCGGTGCCCTGCAGGGCGGCGCCGCCAACCTGGCCATGTTCCAGGTCGGCCGCGTGTTCTGCGGCATCGGCATCGGCCTTCTGGTCACGGTGTGTCCCATGTACATGAGCGAGCTGGCGCCGCCCGACCGGCGCGGCTGGCTCGTCGGCCACCACGCCATCTTCCTGGTGTTTGGCTACATGCTGAGCGCGTGGCTGGGCTATGCCTGCTATTTCGCGACGGACGTCAACGCGTCGTTTGCCTGGCGGTTCCCGCTGTCGATGCAGTGCTTTGCGCCCCTGGTGCTTCTGGTCACGTCCTTTTGGATCCCCTACTCGCCGCGCTGGCTGCTGCAAAAGGGCCGCGTCGAGGAGGCCTGGGACGTGCTGCGCACGCTGCGCGCGTCGCCCGCGGACCCGGACCACCTCGTGGCCAAGGAGGAGCTGTACCAGGCCAAGATGCAGATCGCCCTGGATGCCGCCAAGCTCAAGGCCACCGGCTACGGCCCCTGGATGGCCGTCATCAAGAAAAAAAGCTACCGCAAGCGCATGCTGATGGGCTTCTTGACGCAGTGGGGCGCTGAATTTGCCGGCCCGCTCGTGATCAACAACTACGCCGTGCTGCTCTACACGAACCTGGGTCAGACCGGGTCCATGCCCCTGCTCCTATCGGCGCTGTGGCTGACGACGGCCGGCGTCCTCTACAACCCCGGCGGCGCCTGGCTGCACGACAAGGTCAACTCACGCCGCGGCATGTTCATGTTTGGCCTGTTTGGCTGCCTGATCACCACCGTGGGCCTGGCGGCCTGCATCGCCAAGTACGCCGGCACCGACAACAAGGCCGGCAACGGGGCCGGCGTCTTCTTTGTCTTCTTCTACCTCACCTTCCAGGGGACGTTCTGCGACACCACAATGTACTTGTGGGTCAGTGAGATTTTCGGCACTGACATCCGACCCATCGGCATGGGGTTTTCGTTGTTTGGCCAGTTCGCCGCGACGCTGATCCTTCTTCAGACGGCGCCCATTGGTTTCGTCAACGTGGGCTGGAAGTACTACCTGGTCATCATCATCTGGTGTGTGGTCTTCATTCCCATCGTGTACTTTTTCTTCCCCGAGACGGCGCGTCTGTCCCTTGAAGAGATTGGAGAGAAGTTTGGCGACGACGTGGCTGTCCACGTCAGTGATATTTCCGAATCACAGCGCAAGGAGCTGGACGACTTCCTTCAGCAGACGGACGTCGTGCACCTGGACGGCTCTGAGAAGGTCGCTCCGGCTGCACAGCAACGGGAGGTGGCATAAGTTTGTATCATGGCAGGGCAAGGACAGCGGATAGGTAGTGTTGTACCGTCGGAATTGTGTAATAGTTAACAAATCGATTGAGATATCCCCGCAGTACGGAAACTGTTTCTAAACGGACGGCTTGATCTATGACCTGTAGTGAGGCGAGGAGCATTACAGATGACTGCCTTGTCTCGGGTCTGCACAATGACAGCTTTCGCTAATGGCTCTAAATGCGTCGGTTTCCTTTGGATTACGGTAAACCATTTCCAGATTTCCTGATGATCCAAATATTGATCGGCAACTTTTGCATTGAGATGACAAAATAATAAAATAGGACGGACAAAAAGGAAATAAACAACAATTTAATACAGGTCGATACAACAACTAAACATCCCTCGAATGCATGACACCTTCTCGGCCAGCCTACGCGAGGAGCGTACCACAAAATACGACGCTAAAGAGTGGTTCATTAGATTACGACGTGTATTGTTTGGTGCGGAGATGCTGTGGAGAGAAATGGCTGAAGCTAACTTGGGGACGTTTTGGAACAAAAATTTGGACCTCTTTGTGGAGAAGCTTTAGTCGACTTGCGGCAGCTTTTTCTTGGTCTATTGTTCGCCGTGCTTTCCTTGAAAAGCTCCAATCGCGTTGGCAACGTTCCACGAACGAGGGGAAGTAGAGTGAGTGGCAGCACAGAGTCCAGGGACACAACAAGAAAGCAGAGAGGAGACCGACTTATGCCCCGCCCAAGATGTGCTGAGCATGGTTTACGATCTCGGGTTATTTTCTCAATCTCGGTGGTCCGCAGTTGCGTATGTTCTCGGACGCAAGACATTCTGTCGAGGCACGACGATTACAATCCAGCGAGGCACTGCCATTTCAAACCCGGAGACAGAAAGTAATTTCGGGACTATATTTTGTTTTCCCATCATACAATACATTATTTTACGCACACGGTTTCACTATCTATACTCATACACCAACACACTACACACAATGGGATCAATACATTCTTCACAAAAGACGGTTGTTGAACCCAAGCCGGAGGAGGTTTACAAAGTTGAAGAGCAGCCGGTTGACGTGCAGCCGAAAGAAAATGTTTCGGTAACAGAGGTTGTGGTGCCAGCCACAGAAACACAAACAACACCTGAGCAGCCAGAGCAGTCACAGAAGGAGACACAATGCGACGAGTCCTCGAAACAAAGCATCCAAGACACCGTTGTGATTGACGCGGCCGACGCCCAGCAGACCGTGGCTGTTGATGCCGTTGAGAACATACATCCTTCCAACCCAACACCTGCTTCTGCATCCTCCACCACCCCCATCGACCTCCATTCCCTCGCCTACGACGACCTCCCCGACAAGCGCCGCGTCTGGCCCGGCGCGCCTGGCTCGCGCGAGGAAGGCCTGGGCCGTCTTTGCCTTTTGACCCCAGACGTCGTGGCCGCCGCGGCAGCCTCGAGCATCCGCACTGGCCAGCGTGTCGCCCTCAACTGGGACCTCACCAAGCTTGATGTCGCCAACTTCAACCGCGCGCCCACGCAGCACCACATCACGTCGCTGCTGGGCGGCGCCGGCTTCGACGACGTCTACATTTTCAACCCGCAGCAGTCGTCGCAGTGGGACGGCCTGCGTCACTTTTCGTCGCCGTACCCAGGCGCGGACCAACGCCTGTTTTACGGCGGCGTGACCGCGTCCGACATTGCCGACCGCGCCAACACGCGCATTGGGATGCAGCACTGGGCGCAGGAGGGCATTGTGGGCCGCGGCGTGCTGCTGGACTACGCCGCATACGCCGCGACGCACCTGCCGGGCCTGCAGTACAAGGCCCTGAGCGACCACGCCATCCCCCTGCATGTGCTCCAAGACGTGGCGCGCGCGCAGCACGTCACCTTTGCGCGCGGGGACATTCTGTTTGTGCGCATCGGCCTGACGCGCGAGTGGGACACGCAGATGAGCCCGGCCGACAAGCTGGCCTACGCGCAGAGCCCACACCCACAGCACGCCGGCGTCGAGGGCACCGAGGAGATGCTGCGCTGGATCTGGGACACGGGCTTTGCGGCGGTCGCCGGCGACGCCGTCTCGTTTGAGGTGTACCCGCCGAAAACGTCGTACGCGCGCGAGGGCGGGCAGCCGGACGTGCCCGGCCTCTTCATGCACGAGTACTTGCTGCCCGCCTGGGGCGTGCCGGTGGGCGAGCTGTTTGACCTCGAGGCGCTCAGCCGCATGTGTGCGCAGCACCAGCGCTGGACTTTCTTCGTCACGAGCTCGCCTCTGAACATGCCCGGCGGCGTTAGTAGTCCGCCAAACTGCCTGGCCATCTTTTGACCAGCGATTGATGCCTTGCATATTGATTCATTCTTGCACACTGTACAAAGTATCTTGCATTCTGTATATCTGCAGCCTTGTGATCATAAAATAATTTCAATCATATATATCAAACAATATGTTTCAGCCCTGCGTCTGTGCGTCACGGTGACTGTGACTTGACCCACCAGTATGGTTACCCGCTAGCATCGTCGCTTCAAAACTCTGCAAAATTTTGGTAAACTTTTCCGCCAGTCCCCAGCACTTGAGCCGCTGCAGCATCGCCTGTGCGTCACGGCTGATGGCCAGTGCGCCACCGTCGGCAAATAGGTTGGGCACAGAGCCAATCGCCGCAGGCCCGCCATGTGCAATCCAGTTGTCGACATCGGCAGTACTGGCAATCCGGTGGGAGGGGATGTCGAGTTGAATGGCGGCGACCGTCGAGGGAGTGACACCTCCCAGAGAAGAAGCCACTGGGGTCGGCATTGGTAGAGGCATAGACGACGATAGTGGCAGGGAGGACAAGGGCGAATTGAATGGTGTGCGTCCCGGTCGTGTTTGGGCAGTTGCTTGCTGTGTTGGCGGCATCTGGAACCGGTGGCTACTGGGACAGTGGGCGGCAAAGACAATCAAAAATGTGTAGCCCATGAACAGCCGCAGAATTTCACACGGTGCTGACACAAGGTAATCGTTGGCGACAGCAACAATCTGCGCCGCATGATACACCAGCCGCCGTGCTTCTTGTGGGTCGCGGGACAGAGTCGCCACGAGTCGCCGCTTGGCCATTTGGATGCCTTTGTGGTGCTGCAGTTTGCGTGGTCCGTGGGCGACCGTGTTGCGCACAATGTACAGCATAATGTCCAAAACATCCTGCGCCGTGTACAGGTGCGAGTAGTGACCGATGAGGCTGGCAATGTTGTAGCTGATGAGGTCCGCCACGGTGGCTGGTTGATCCATGGACACCAACAAATTGTCTAGCGACCGCAGGAGGCGCACTTTATTGGCGGCGTGGGCGGTGGACAGCGACGGCATACCAAAGTACTCGGACGTCGACAGCGTCTCGAGCTGCTTCAAGTCCCACAGCAGCCGGCCAATCACCTGTGCACACAGCCGTTTGCCCCAGAAGGACACTTGCGGCGAGGCTTTTGTTGTGCCGTAGGATCCAGGCGCCGTCTTGGTTTTGGCCGACGCTCGCAGCAACACGCGTGGCGTGTCTCTGTCAGTCTCCACATATGTGCAGCTGTCGCCGATGCTATCGTCGCTGTCGTCTTCTTCGCCGTGGCTGTCATTGGCGTCGCCCATACCGTCGTCCGCATCGTCTGCATTTTGTGAGAGCGCAGCTTTGAGAACCAGCGACACTGGTGCTCCCTGTGCATCCGGGTGGAGCCGTGTGCGCAGCGCCGCCCAGGCAGTAGCAGACGGTGCATCCCACAGCGTCTCGGCACACGGCAGCCGGCTCGGCAACTCGCTCAGATCGACGGCACCACGACGTCCTGTCAGTGTACAAAGGCTGCAGTCGTACTCAAACGACGACCAAGCTGTGCGCTTTTCACGCTCACGCCGCACCCATGCCATCCATTGTTCGTGCTGTGTTGCGGGGTCTGCTGGGAGCGTGGGCATCGATGGGTGCGTCGCTGTCGTTGTGCTGTTGCCCACCGAGGCGCGTGTAGTATTGTTCTGCTCTTGCTCCAGCTTGTCCTCCAGGCTCAGTCGCGTCGTCAAGCAGCCCATACCACGTAGACCGCCGACCAGAATGCCGCGCGTGCGGTCGGCGTTTTGGTACAATTGTCGGTTGCCCGAGCCGAGTGAGTAGATCTGGTGTACACACAGGGCGCTCAAGTAGGCAATGTCGCGGTAGTTCGCACTGTCGGAAGACCCCAGCCAGGCAATCATTGGCATGCAAATATCGCTGATAGACCAGGTTAGGCCCGCGACCTGTTCATCATCGCTCAGCAGACTGCCCACGCAAGCCATGGCCGATATAAGTACTGGCGGGCAAGAAGCCAGGTCCCACGTGGGAACATGCAGCAGTGGCAGGATGGGTTGGAACTTCGCGACGTAGGTGTCGACCAGCTGCTTAAGCAGGTTCGCTGCGTGAGCCATGCCTGCGTCCATATTTGCGATGGAGAGTGCTGTGGGGACGCTGGCGTTGTTGGCATTGTTACCGGCCGGTTTTGGCTGTTGACAATAGCCCGAAGAGGCGGTCTCTTCAGCATCGATAGGCGCAACTTCAACGGCCGGCGGAATGCGTGTGTCCGACATGAGTGCGACCAGGCTGGCCAGAATTGACTTATTCGGAGGCGTTGGGTTCGTTGACTGAGAAAGGGTGTTCTGCAAGATTTCGCGCAGAGGAGGCAACGAATACCGGTGTGGTGCAAGGTGGTCTGGTGTGTCATCAAATGGCCACGGCAGGACGGATGTCGGTGTGGGGCGGGTATGTTGACCAAGAGCATTGCCATTGTTACTGGGAGGGTGGTTGGTAGGATAGTTGGTTTGGTGAGCACTCGGCGGGTGTTCCATTGGACGTTGTATGTTGTGTGGTTGTTGCACTTGGAGTTGTGAGAGTTGGCGAGAGTGAGTAACAGTAGGGGAATGGTGCAGATGCGGTGGTTGAGCCTGTTCCTGTTGCTGGAGAGGAGGAGGTGGAGGCGGTGGGTTGGATAGTTGCTGTTGTGGCTGATATTGTGGTCCCTGGCTCTGGTTTGGATGCTGTGGTTGCTGTGCCTGCTGTTGTTGTTGGCTCGTCACGCTTGGATCCATGTCAGACATGCCCGTGCTGTCAGCTGTGCTGAAAATATCAGGAACGTCAAAGTCGAGCCAATCGAGGCCTGCAGTTCGAAAGTCCAGCTGGCCTGCAGCCGACAGGGACGCCACAAACGGCATAGTGTCGGCAGTAATGTAAAGGTCGTCAGAGAATGAGGGACTGCAGCCGTTTGTCGCCACGGCTGAACCGTCGTAGCCATTGCCGTTGAGATATGGCCCACCATTGCTGTCATTCGCTGCAGCACCGGTCGCAATGTCCATGGCATCCAGGCTTGCGAGGCCAGCACCGAAGGTTACCTGGTGGGCGTTGTAGCTGTTGTCGACATTGTTGCTACCCTGGAACAAAGGGGGCGGTGCGTCGGCACACATGGCCACATGTGCTTGGTTATCTGGGGAAGCCATGCCGTGCGGATCGGGTATAGTGTATGCGGTCATGATTATTTCCGTTTGCTGTGTTTGTGTCGTTGTAGCCGGCTGAGTTCTTGCGTCTGCCTGTGGGTACTGGCAAATGGCGCCACCGGCCGCGCATAGACGGCATGGTTGCTGTCGGTCGCATTTGCGCCGTAGGTGGACGCAGCGATGGCATGACTTCTGCGCTGCCTTGGGCTGCGGACCGGGGTCGACGCCGTGCGCCGTGCGCAGATGTCGGAGCAGCACATCGTTGCGTCCAAAGGCCTTGCCACAGTGGTTGCAGGGCAAGGAAAGGCGGCCTTCGGGTGGGAGATGTGTGCGGTAGTGTCGATCGTGGTGGCTCGGGCGAGAGAACTGGCGGTGGCAGATGGCGCACTGTAGTGGACCTGATGCCTTGGTGATGCCGGGCGCGGCGTCGCCTGCTGCTGTCCTCTGCTTCTTTTGCTTTGGCTGTTTCAGCTGCGAGGCGTACATGTTAGCAGAGTCAAACAGTGAGCTGAAGTGAAGAGACCTGAGATGGCATGGAGCGAGGAGCCATACGGCCCCGAGGGTGCTAGTTGAGAAGACAACGCACAAGTGACATTGTGACTGTGGTTGATTGAATTGTGTAGTGTCACGTCGTGTCGGTAAGTAAATACCCGTTTGAGCATCAGAGTCGGTGACAGGTCATAATAGGCGTGACTTGACGGAAAGACGACTGTTCACGTAGCGTTTCGATCGAGAAGGAGTGAAATCGAGGAGAAATGTAATGCTTGAAGCATTGAAAGACAGGAGATCAATGCGAAAGAATGGCCCCGAATGACCCAACACTGGGGCCGCGGCGCCGATTACGCCCTAAATGGCCGCTCAGTGAATAAACCTAGCGCCCAACCGTCGCCCATTCGACCTCCGCTTTTGAAAGAACGCGGAGAAGCGGGGCGAAAAAAGCCAGACCCAGAAAGACAGCGTGCAGATGGACTGGTGGCAAATCCACTGCGCTGGGCCTGAACAGCCACCAATTCTGCACATCGTGTACGAATTAGACCGGGGGACGACGGTTGGCTGCTTCCACTGTTTGCACCGGCAGCCCGGGTTTGTGTCAACCTTGCCTGTCTCTTTCCCCGTTGGTTTATCCTTTCACCTCTGGTGTCTCCTTTCACCGCTGACCTCTCCTGTCTCGCATCCTCACCAACGAGTTAGCAATGTCGTGACGTTTGAAGTAGGTGGTTAATGGGCGTCGAGAGGATGCAGCTGTCAGTACAACCTGTGCTCGGTGGTTTCGTTCCGTTGTGGTTCTTGATGCGGGGTGATGGAATTACGCTGGTAGAATGTCGTTTGTGCAGAAGTCCATTGTTGCAGTCAATAACGAAGAATCTGAATGAAGATGAAAGTGTTGAATATGTCAACTCTCGCTGCGAAGAATGAAAAGGGGGAACGCTTAAAATAGGGGCGGGTGTTGTAATCTGTGGAAGGTACGATCTCAAACGGAAGGACCAAACGGCACCGATTACGCAAGCAAAAATGCGTGTCGCTCTTTCTAAATTCAGCAAACGTGTGCCCAGTGACCGCGACGTGATATTTTGGCTTGACTTTGCATTATTCTATGTACAATCTGAACAAACTTGCTTGCTTCGACACGCTTTAGCACCCAGCCCCACGCCCTGAATCGACGACTACTTCGATAGCAGCTTCTTCAGCTCCGAGCATACAGCCTCACCGACGTCGCGCGTTGTCGCCTTACCGCCCAGGTCGGCCGTCCGAATCTCCAGCCCGCCGGCAGCCTTTTCCTCCAACACGATCGACACTGCCGTTTCGATGGCGTCGGCTTCGGCCGCCAGTAGGAACGAGTACCGCAGCATCATGGCGACGCTGAGAATCTGGGCGACGGGATTGACCAGGCCTTTGCCGGAGATGTCGGGCGCACTGCCGTGCACGGGCTCGTAGATGCCGTTGCAGCGGCCCTCGCCGCCGGGCACGGCCGAGATGCTGGCACTGGGCAAGACACCCAGGGTGCCGGTGATGCCGCCCGCAATGTCGGACAGAATGTCGCCAAAGGTGTTGTCGGTGTGGATGACGCCGTTGAAGCGCGTCGGCTGCGCCACCATCAGCATGGCCATGCTGTCGGCCAGCTGGTGCTGCAGGTCAATGTCGGCGTACGCGGGGCCGTCGAGCACCCGCTGCGTCACGGTGCGCCACAGCCGGCTGTTGGCCAGGACATTGTACTTGTCGGCACTCCAGACCTTGGCGGCCTTGGACCGGTCCTCCGGGCGCCCCATGAGACGGGCGACGGCCGCGCTGACGTGCGCCAGGCGCTCAATCTCGGGTGTCTTGTACTCCCACAAGTCGGACGCGACGTCGGCGTCCTCGCGCTTGTCGCCGAAATACGCGCCGCCGCAGTTCTCGCGCACGACGACAAAGTGCGTACCTTTGACCAGATGCTCCTTGATGGGCGACTGCTTGACGAGGGACGGCGCGTAAAAGGCGCAGGGGCGGATGTTGGCAAAGGCGTCGAGGCGGCGGCGCAGGGCCAGCAAGCCCGACTCGGGCGTGGGCACGGCGCCCGCCCACTCAGGGCCACCAATGCTACCAAACAGGACGGCATCGCTGGCCTCGGCCTTGGCAAGCACGGCCTCAGTGATGGGCACGCCATGTTTGTCGATGCTGGCGCCACCGGCCAGGTCAAAGTCGCGCTCGAATTTCAGGCCGGGCCGGCTGGCCTCGACGACATCGAGGACCTTGAGGGCCTCGGCGACGACTTCGGGGCCGACATGGTCGCCAGGTAGGACGAGCAGCTTGTACGTCTGGGACATTGTGGTCGGGTGGAGTCGGTTGAGATGCCGATTGAAGTGAGGCACTGTAAGAGGGCAATCGACGTGAGCACAACAGGAAAGCAAAAGATCACGAACGCGTCTTATTTGATTGCATTCCGTCTCGGCTTCAACAATTTCGGCGTCGTCAATCTACTTTCCCAGAACACCGACAGGACGTGTGACGAAGCTCATCACCGACTTCGGCTTAAGCTTGTCCGTAGCTATCTGCTTAGGCCGCGACCGGGGTAGGGGGCCACTGATTTCGCCACTACACAAGGACTTGCAGCGCTGGCGCGACCCGGACATGATCTGGCGCGGTCGGAAGGAGTGTAGAGTGGAGAAGGTGGAGGAAGTGGAGGTAGGTGGCACTTTGATTGCTTTCCCTTTTTGGTGAGGAGCTCTGCCAGTGGTACGCTCCGTTCACACACATTTGGCAGTTTTGCTGCAGTTTCGTTCTGCCCTGTGACGATGAAAGTCCAGTGCGGGGAAGACTCCTGCAGTAGCACGCCAACCACAGACACCATCACAATGGCGTCCTAACGGCACCTTGGCTTCTCGTGCCTTCGCGTCTTACGTCTCATCTTAAGCTATCTCCAGCTCTCGACTCGGCTTGGCACTGGCAGCTTGCGGTACTTTACAACTTTACATCGCCGCGGCCTTTCACGATTCTCATTCGTCTCGGTTACATGCACCTTTCGTCCACGAATAGAATTTCGGTATTGCAATTGTCATTTGTATCGTTCATTCGACCGTGTTTTACGTTTCGTCACCATCGCACTGTCTCTCCAGTCTTTTTGGCAACGACAACATCCACCACCTCCACATCACCACATAGCACACGCAATGTCTCGTCTTCAGGGAAAGGTTGCCATTGTCACCGGCGCTGCCTCTGGCTTCGGCAAGGGCATCGCTGCCAAGTTCGTGGCCGAGGGGGCCAGCGTCATCATTGTGGACCTCTCTGCCGAGGCCGGCCAGGCCGCTGCCGCCGAGCTCGGCGACAAGGCCGTTTTCCAGCACGGCGACGTCACCAAGTCTGCCGACTGGGAGGCTCTCCTGAAGCTGGCCGTGGACAAATTTGGCGGCCTCGACATTGTCGTCAACAACGCGGGCGCCACGTACGCCAACAAGCCCACGACGGACGTGACGGACAGGGACTTTGACCTCGTCTTCAATGTCAACGTCAAGTCGGTCTACGTGTCGACCAACGTGTTGCTACCGTACTTTCTCAACAACAAGCGGCCCGGCAACTTCATCCAGGTCGCGTCCACGGCCGGCATCCGCCCGCGGCCCCGCCTGACCTGGTACAACGCCAGCAAGGCGGCCGTGATCAACGCCACCAAGACCATGGCCGTCGAGTTCGGCCCCCACAACATTCGCTTTAATGCCGTGTCGCCCGTGGTCGGCAGCACCGGCATGACGCACCTGTTTATTGGCAAGCCGGACACGGAGGAGAACCGCGCAGGCTTTGTGTCGACGATCCCGCTGGGCCGGCCGTCAACGCCAGGCGACATTGCCAACGCATGCTGCTACCTGGCGAGCGACGAGGCGAGCTTCATCACGGGGGTGAACATTGAGGTCGACGGGGGCCGGTGTGTATAGGAATGTCGGGGAGGGGCAAAAGGCGATAGTCACAGTGTTTCTAGTACGTTCATTCCAACGTCAATTGGTTTGTAGATTCTCAATACGAGTCGAGTCCACAAAAAGAAGTTCATAAGCTGTGGCGTTTGTAACTTGGAGTCGTGGTTATGCAAGAGCCACAGCCTACATAGCTCACCCGGAAGACAACGGAAAATGATGCTTGTGAGAGAGCAATCGCAATACATACTTGTCTTCCATCCCTGCGAGAATGCAATACGAGAGCAATGGCGTACTGGGTGACGAGTCGAAAATGCCGCGCAATGATTTGTTTCCTGAAGTTTGTGTAGTCACGTGTCTATTGCCAGATGGCTCCTATGTGTGTAACACAAGAAGGTGGCTCCAACGTGACTCGACTTGTCGTATCAGGTGATATCTTCGTTCCTTCCTTATTCAGTGACAACTGCCCGTCAGGGGCACCAGACGCGACAGCAATGGCCATAATAAAAATGCTTCGTCAGTTCGCAGTCAGCAACCGCGGAAGACGAAACATATACCACAACACCACCAGCAACGATCAATACCCCTGGATAGACTACACACACCGATGTTTCTATGCCTCACGCCTAACATGAGAAGACAAAATGCCAGTCTTTACCCGGACAGCGTCTACCACCCAGGCAGCTCTATCCCTTGACGGATAATGTGCGGCAGCTCTTCCTTTGACGAAGCGACTGGGTGGCAGCTGCGCCCTTGGCGCGCCGACAAGGGGGTAAGTGATGGAGAGCTCTCTAAGTCGACAACATGCTAACAAGAGGAAGGCTCCTTGCCTCCGGTGCGTTGCCCGTTCTGGCCAAGATATCGCGGTGACGTTCCCCCTGTGTGCGCGCTAGAGGAAAGGACATATGTGTGGGTTGCTCCTGCGAAGGAAAATCGTGCCATCCTGTGAGTCTCAGACCCGTCTCCGATGACTCGTCGACATACTGACCCTCTCTTTTTAGATCCCGGCCGACCTGCGTGGCATTTGTGCGAAATGGAACCATACACGACGATCACCAACTGCGGCGTTATGCGCTTGCCACTCCCGACACTGCCTCCACAGCATTGGTCCTCCCTGACGACGAGCTTGACGAGCGCCTACGGATCGCGGAGATCTTTCCTGTCAAGCATGCGAAAGAGCCTCTCGGCTTATGTAGACTTGTCCACGATGGCACTGGCCATCATCGCTGTGTTGCCTGTGCACCAACTGCTCAGGGTCGAGCGGACGCTCAGCCAAGACGACAACCTTTTGGGCTTTCATAGCTTTACATGGAACACGACGCAAGCCGTGCGCATATGTGCGTCCGACTGCCCTTCCACCTTCAATATTTTTGCTGTGTCAAGACTTGCCATACTGCCACTTCATCGCCAAGGGAGCAGCAAACTAATGAACGTATATTAACCCGAGAACTTAGTTTTACAAAAACCCGGCGTGAATATGCCACTGCGCGACCCGCCCCTGAATCGTCGACAGGCCGAAAGAGAAATTGTAAGAAGTCGATCCAACAAGTCCCAACCCTTTGCTTCTCGGACACTGCTCGGTCTAACGTACCTGCAGTGCCTGCTGCGCGACCGAGATCGCTGTCTGGTAACTGGGACGGCCAACCTCGAAGTGTGCCACATATTCCCATTCGCTACCAACAACAGCAGCGACAAGGTGGGCCGGCTGTTGCAATTTGAGATTGCGAGCTTGTCCGGTGCAGCAGGCGATGATAACTTTCTTTACGAAGACGACGACGAGTACGAGCGAGACGAGGACGAAGGAGAGGGGCCGATTTAGACGCTGACCAACTAGAAGCAGGCCGCATCGGATCACGCCAAGAACCCAAATACCAATGCCTTGCCCGACCCCAACCCTCGCGAGGCGACGCGGGTATCAAAGTTATGTATACCGCCCCACTCCCAGACACACACGAAGCTGCTCCCATGTCGCCCAAGCCACAGCAGTCCGAAGGCACAGACTCGACCAAAGTGCTCGGGAACACCGACAAGCCAAAAATGGACCTTTTTGAGCGCAAGTGGGCGGATGGGCTGCAAATAAGCCTCCGAACCCAAAGACCGCCGGCTAGTACCGGATCGATTGCCATCTTTGATCCGCTCGGCACGCCATATCTTGTCCAAGATGAAGCGCCAGCGTGCTCGGTGGAGCACCTGTTTCAAGACGACGCTCCCATTGCTGACAAACCGAGTGGTGGTAAACCAGACAAATCGACCATGACAGGAACACTGTTGGAGACCTAGAGTCTAAATGCCTTCAGCCTCATTGTGACAAGTGTGGACGAGAAGGCGGCCTCTGCCCCCACGGCCGAGTGGAATAGTTGTGGGGTGGGGAACTCGGTGCTGACAGCAGATTGTGCACGTGTTGTAGCGCACGTCATGTTCCCGTTTCAGTTACCGAAGTAGACTAAACACAGACGACTTTAAAACAAACCAGGCATATGTTTCTTCAGCCCCACGATTGACAACCGACTCGGTGACCGATATGCGCTAGAGCAGTCACGGCAGGCTGCGGTTCATCCCTGCTTGTGCAGATTTTAGGTTTTCCTGCCCGGTTTCAAATTTTTGGGCGACAGCCTTGCACGATTTACCAATAACACGAACACGTGCCTCTGGTCAAGCTCAAAACCTCACGGGTTGAATAGTGCACAAGCTTGCGTGGCCTCGACAACTCTGGGAGTTATGGCCAGGACAAGGAGGATGCCGTGTTCCGAAGTCTTCGGCGTGGATTTCAATAATCACGTCACCTCCAGGTGGCATATTTAAGCTGCTTGACCTTTACCGACTGGACCATCTACTCTGAACACCACTGCCACTTCACTATTTTCCTTCGCTCATCACTGCGGCTTACTTCCTCTCCAATATGCTGTCTACCAAGTCCCTTCTCACGGCCGTCCTGGCCCTTCCAGCCGCCATTCTGGCCGCGGACGGCCCGATGGTCCCCGACTACGAGATCCACCTGCAGCTGGATCCGACGGTGGTGCTGGACTCCAACTTCCGCCTGGTGTCGGCCGTGATTGACGAGTTTGCGATGCCGACGACGGTCACCAAGAAGAACGTGCAGTACATTGACACGCTCGACAAGGCGCTGGACGCGCAGGGCTGGAGCTGCCGCATCCGCAATGTGGAGAACAAGAGCGGCTTCGACCTGACGTACAAGTGGCGCCTGCCGATCCAAAACAGCGACATCACCGGGGCGCTCAACACGGCGTTTGCCGACGGCTGGAACTCGGGCCAGGGCAACTACGCGGCGCAGGTGGACTGGTACCTGGACAGCCAGGAGCTGTCGGTGTCGCGCGACTACACGGCGTCGTCGAGCGGGTACAGCGGCACGACCGACCCGTCGGAGGCGGACTCGCGCAGCCTGCTGATTGCCAACGCGCCCAAGATGTTTGACAACTGGGTCACGAACGGCTGGGGCACGGACGAGCTGGCGGGCGGCGCCATCTACGGGCCGGTGCTGACCAAGGCGAGCGCGGGCACGTGGGACGGCCGGGAGCTGGACATTGAGATCTGGCCGATTGAAAACAGCGCGGGCACGGGCATTGCCTATCTGGTGGAGGCGTCGTTCAAGACGGACGACTACGACACGGCGGTGAGCGGGCAGGCGGGGCTGATTGCGCTGCTGAAGAGCAAGGGCTGGTTCCTGGACGCCAGCAACTCCAAGGAGGCCCTCGTCCTGGCCAACTACCACCCTACGTCGTAGGTGGGTGGTAGTTGGCCAGGAGGGTATGAAAGTAAGACGTTATGACATGTCGACGATAAATAGTGATACATGCATCTATATTACTTTACTTGTCGAGGAAATAATGCAATCTGAATTGCTTCACAGCGACTTCTCTTGACTCTGTCACTTCCTATTCTCTTCCACCTTCTCCTTGGCCGTCCCGTCTGGGTTTGGTTTGGGAGCAAACGGTACCTTGTCGTAGATCACCAGCATGACGCCGGCAAAAGTCACCAGAATAAAGGCCGTCGATATCGTGCAGAACCAGCCAATGCCAATGGCGTCCGTTGCCGGAATGGCCAGTGCTGTGCCCGCCGCGCCAAACATGTAGCGAATAAAGAAGTTGCCGCCCAATACCTCCGTGGAGCGTCCGGGCACAACGTCGATGCAGTACGTGTTGATGGCCGGGAAGATCATGAGCTGCGTGAAGCCCTGGACGAACATGACGACGACCAGCAGGGCGATGCCGCCCTTGTCGTACTGCAGGCACCAGCCATAGATGAGCATGCACGCCGGCGTGCCGAGGCCCATCCACGGCATGGCCGCACGCAGGCGGTCCTGTGGGCGGCGAACGCCGTTGCGCTTGCGGATCCATGCCTTGACGACGCGGTCGGCGTTGCGGCCGCCGACGAACGTGGCCGCCAGGTACCCGAACCCGGGGGCCAGGTAAAAGAGACCGGCCTGCAGGGGTGTGGTGAAGTGGAGCCGCGGGTTGATGACGTAGACGATGGGCGCGAAAAACGCATACATGTTCCAGATGAGCGACGACGAGGCGAGGGCGACGAGAAAGAGGTCGGGGCGGCGGAAGAGTCGGACGAGACGGACGGGGTTGTACGCGGCCAGGCATTCGCGGACGCGCTGGTCGCGGGGGATAGCGTCCCAGCGGCGAGTATGCGAGGTTTCGGGCAGGAATAGGACAGTCAGCGCGGTTGCCAGGCCAGCCAGCCCCGTCTGGAACCAGTAAATGTTACGCCAGCTCGAGTACGTGACAATTATGCCGCCGATAGCAGGGCCCACGGCCGGACCGACTAGCGTGCCGCTCAGGATCCACGCCAAGGCGGTACCGCGTTCGGTCGGGCGGTACAGGTCGCCCACGACGGCCGGGCCGCAGACCAGCAGACCCGTCCCGCTGAACCCGCTGAGGATCCGGAAGACGAAAAAGGACGCCAGGTTCGGCGACAGCGCCGACCCCAGCGAGAAGCCTGTGAATGCCACGACGCTCGGCAGCAAGACCGCACGGCGACCGCCGAGCACGCCCGTGACGCCCCAGACAAACGCCGACACGCCCATGGCGCCCGTGTACAGGCCGTTGCTGATGTTGATGACGCTGCCGGACGTGTGGTAGGTCTCGGCAATCTCGGCAAGCGCCGTCAGACAGCCCGTCGTGGCAATGGGCGACAGCAAGCTGCAGAGCGACAGAATGGCACAGAACAGCCGTTTTTGGGCGGGCGAGTAGCGGGTGTACATGCGCTCGGCGCGTTGGGTGGGGGTCAGGTCGACGTCGGGGATCGACGGGTCAGGCGGTCCATCAGGTGTGTGCGGTGTTGCCGGAGTTGGTGGTGGCATAATCTGCGTCGCCTCGACCTTTTCAGATGCCGTCACGCCCTTCTCGATATCTCTTTCCGTGCCACTCGCGTCGTCGACCACGCCCGTCTGTATATCGGCAACTGCTGTGGAGAGCATGGCCGCGTCCATGTGCGTTTCGACAATGTCGAGGTTGTCATCTTTGTCGCGGGATGTGGGAGGAAGAGGGTGTTGTGTATGTGTTGAATGTCGTCCCCCAAACGGTGTTGGTTGTGTCGGCTGCTTTGGTGGTGTGTTTGAGGCAGGTGAGGAGGCCGGGAGTTGAAGATCCAGCTTGGTGACGTTGATGTAATCTTGGTCGGCCATGATGCGTCCATGGGGACGTGTAAACGATGGACAATGAAGGGAGCTCGACAAAGACAGGAATATTTAAAACAACCCGTGATTATGTACCAAATGACACTAGAGGTAGACATCCAAATAGAAAATAGTCGCAAAATGTCGAAATGTTGTACACCGTATTACGCCACTAAACAGACACGGTGGGCGTAAATAGAGTGAACAGTCCATTGGATGTGTCGTGATTAAAAGACAGAACAAGAGAACCAGTGCAAGCAAATATAGATGACAACTAGCAACCAACACAGCTCCTCGGCATGTCTAGCAGGCAAGAGGAAGAAGGCCTTCCGCCGTCCTCCGTCCTCCACTGGAGTCGATTGAATCAGTCGAGTCGTGATGGAAGGCAACGATGGTTGTTGATTGGCCTACAAAAGTCACCATTCCCCGGTAAAGCTAGTCCGGGAAATGTTGTCTGGATACGATGGAGGGCGGAAATGCAACTACGCGGAATGACTTGCGCTAACCAAGCAATGACTCTCTACCATGGGTTCTCTGCGCGGAACGCTATTTCCTTGTCACGTAAGGTATCCGTAATAAATTATTGGTGTTGAGGCAACCACTATATTTCTGTCTCGAACCACTTTTTGAAACACACTCTGTCCTACTTGGTTCGTTCCTTTCACTGAATGTTTAGAAGCCCGACATTATTGATTGGGTCCGAATCCAATTCCTCTCACCAAGACGACCCTACTCATACAGCCCTGGGGCCAAGAGAATCCAGTAGGAACCAACGACGGGCTTGTTGATGTTGCTGGTGCCCGGCCACGTGCCCGGCGGATTCTTGCCGTTGGCGCTGGGCGTGACATACCACCAGTTGGGCCCGGGCGAGTTGTTGACGCCGTTGGTCAAGAAGGCGTGGATGCCGCCCAGGATGCCGTCGTGCACGTCGGGCGCGGACGTGACGGCGACCCACGGCAAGAACTCGCCGACGGCGTAGGTGACGTTGGAGTCAAAGGGCATGCCGTAGGTGGAGAGCTGGCCGGCGTACCAGTCGCTCTGGAGGGCGTAGGACGAGGCGTTGAAGGTGCCGAGGCCGACCATCTTGTCCCAGCCCATGGGGTACGTGGAGATCCACGACGCGGCCGGGTCGCCAAAGTGGGCGGTGACGTGGTCGCCGGCAACGCCGTCGGCCATGACGACGTCGGCAAAGCGGCGGCCGATCTGGGTGTAGTTGTCGAGCCCCGTGAGGGCGCCAAAGGACGTCAGGGCCACGGCCGAATACATGGCCAGCACGGTCTGGTTGGCGGTGGCGCCGATGGAGTCGACGGACGACTGCTGGGCGGCGGTGTACAGGCCGTTGTTGACCAGGTAGTCGGCAAACTTTTGTAGGGGCGCCAGGTACGGCTTGATGTACGCGGTGTTGCCCGTGGCCTTTTGGTACGCGTAGGCCATCCAGTGCATGACGGCTGTCTGGTCGACAATCAGCGCTTCCTGGGCGGCGACCGTCTCGCCCGTGGCGTTGGGGTACTTCTTGCCCAGATCGTGGAAGCCAAACTCCGCCGGCCACGTCAGGGCGTACTCGAGCAGGGGGTTGAGCAGCAGGCGCATGTAGTCGGGGGCCATGACGTAGAAGATGGGCCAGGCCTTGGGCAGCAGG